AGTGATTATCTATCGGAGCTAGGATGCATTCAAAGTCCGCATAAACGCAAAACGGTAGTCTTAATTGTTTGTGATGCTGTTCAAATTTCAGCACATTATCCATTACCGTGTTTCCAAGGCGATCAACTCTGGTTTCCAGTTGGGGCAGCTTAACTGAAATGTGTTTGCAATAGTTTTGGATGTGAATTTCCAGTTTGTCTTTTGATGCAAAGTATTGTAAACAGCCATCACAAAAATGCTTTACTCTCGTATTAAGTGACAACTGACTTGAAACGAGTCTTGAAAAGTTGGTAATTAAGCAGTAATGATGGTTACCTTCTGAATCATCAATAAGTAATAAGTTCAGATGAGTGGGTTGTTTTTGCGCCGTGTAATGTAACGGTCCTACCACCTGATATTTAGACTTTCCATCAATGAATTCCTTTTCTATTCCATAAACGTTAATTGACATATTATTCAATCTTTCAAATTCTGATATTGACTTGAGAGCAACTGGAAAGTCCATTCCTGCAAAGTTTAAACCAGGAATGTTCGAAAAATGTGGATATGACGTTGTTAGTGACGCTCGACCCTTTGGTTTTATCATACCAGCTACAATCGACCATGCAAAGCAGTACTCATCCGTGTTACGTATGTTGAGTACAGCTTTTTTGTTCGTGATTTCCTTAGGAAGCGGCAAATATGCTGCTGCCCTCAACGGATTATATTTATTAATATTAATTTCTAAATATAAAATGTTTTCCAACACCCACCCTGAGTCTTTTTCTGCAAAGTCTTTCGATTTTTGTTCGATTTTACTACCTAGATCATAATAGATTTGATTCAAATTTGAGGATTGTGTAATTATTACATTGTTCGTATTGTGGGACTTTACCTCTCGTCGGTTTTTAGCTGGTAAAATATATAAACCAAAAAGTTCCATATTTATTTTGAGTGTTGTATGCTTATGCAACTCATTTTCAATTACGTTTATGGAGTCCTGTGCCACATTATTCATATATTCAGTAACGTTCAAAGTCTCTATGCTAGCGGTTATTTGATAACTAACTATTCTACCTCGGAATGCACTTCGACATACTGACACATTATTTTGTAAAGGTCTCCATAGATGTGCCTTATGTTTAATGCTTTTCAGATGTGCCGCATGTGCATTCCTCGATACCTCACAGCTGCAACTCTCACAGCGAATTGTCCTGCTACCCGCACTCGCTTGTGAATCGTTGCCGGTGGTTGAACTCTCTCGACTTGCGCCCGGCACTACGACGTCGGATGGTGTAGGACTCATTCGACTGGTTCCAGGCACTGCGACGGGGGGTGTTGCAGGGTTCACTCGTCTAATGTTGACACCTGCGGCTGTCTGGGTGATGAAATCTGCAATAGTTGGCTCATTGTTAGTAATCTCACCCTCCATACGTTGTTGCTTGGAAGGTCTTTTCTCGCTTATGCAGACCTCTCTAAGATGTCGCAGTAAATTATGGCGTGCTGAGAAGGTGTGCTGACATCGAAAACATTGCAACTTGTCTGCAGTGCGGCGCGAAGAGGATGCATTACTGTCCTCGAGACTTGGGGATTGGGGAATGCTGGAGGTACCACCTTCCTGGTTAAAGGATGCTGAAACAGATAATTCTGTTAGTGATTTTATTCGATTTTATTTTCTAATTGTTCAATACCTGTTCCATCTCGAAGACAGATGCGCTTCGATGCTGGCTCACCATCTTGGCTGCACCGCTCTCTACCGTGCTTCAACAAATTTTTTCTCGCCGTGAAGGTCCTTTCGCACTTTAGACATTGGAACATCGTGAAGCGTGTACGTATTTACTCTGTTCCTGCAACAAAATCATTATATATATATATATAATATATATATATTCGGCTGCGCTTAGCGTTATCCAGTGTGGCCACGGGGAGGCGGCAGCCACCACACCATCTTCTGGATCTGCTTATGTCGCATCTGAAACAAAAAAATATTTTAGCTGCTGTACGTTGTTTTGAACCCTTTGCATGTTTTTTTTTGTCACACCTCTACATGTCTACCGGTATGTAGTACCTTAACATCAGCAGATCCAGCGCCTCAATATGCACATTCTGTAGTTGATGCCCATTGCGAAACCAGTTCATCCCTCTTAACTTAACTGTCCCTTCACTGTCTAGCCCCCTCCTCATTCGCAGCCCGTTCGAGTTGCGTGAGCGGCAATTCTTCGATCCACGTATCCTGATTTAGTTCCATCGCGATCTGTTGAAGTTGTGCCAACGGTTCTCTCAACTCGACGTCGCGCGCACACGCGGCCCGTTCAAGTTGCGTGAACGGCAAATCTTCAATCCACGTATCCCGATTGAGTTCCATCGCGATCTGTTGAAGTTGTGCCAACGGTTCTCTCAACTCGACGTCGCGCGCACACGCGGCCCGTTCAAGTTGCGTGAACGGCAAATCTTCGATCCACGTGTGGCGATATAGTTCCTCGTCCGCACCATACCGTTCACTCGCGACCGCGGCAGACATCAACGACTCTTGGGGTGTCGAAGTGGCTCTGGACGTGGACGGCCTCGACTCCGCTCCCAACAAACTCAGTTCCAATGATGGCCAAGCATTGTACGCATCCATCATTGTTGCACTGTCCAGGTCCGGATTGAGGGATGCTAACAATGCCTCAATGTTGATGTCGCCATCATCGTTCGACACATTTTGTCCGTCGGCGATAAAATTGTTAAGCATGGTTTGCGAGCCCATGCTAACAATTTCCACGGATACATCATTCGCCGAAGTACTAGGCATCGAAGCGCGAACGGTTTCAAGTGGTGGCACAACCTGAACATTTTGTAGTATACGTACAACTTGGGGCTTCAACAGTTTTTCTAGAATTGGGCGCTGACTATCGGAGAATGTGCAGTACTTGCACTGCTTTCCAGGCGCACACAGACACTCTCTTGAGCACATTTTGGCAACCTAACACAGAAAACAATTTTATAATGTACTATTTTACTGATGCGTCCAATATGGAGCGTTTAGACTGCAGTGACGGTGTGCACCATCGACACTGATATAAATACATGTCCCTCCTACCCACCTTTCACGACTTTCTACCTTCGCGATATCTACCATCTGCCTTTTAATTAACAGTCAAAATTTATTACCCCATAATCGTTTATGCTCGAGGTTGACATTCCAGAAGCAGTTCGGATTGACAATCTCGTATGGGATCTCGATGATCCATCCACAGATTCAGGGTATACCAGTCCTTAATCATGGATGGATCGTTATGCATTTTAGTTTTAAGGAATTATGTCTAAGATTTTATTTGTAAGGTTGTAGGCTTTAAGGTTTCTGTGAAACATATAAATAAAAAATAAAAACACTAGAACCATTAACTATCTATTCGTTAGCCGTAAGACCATAAACCCAAACCCAATAAAAGAGTTTACAACATCTATGCATTCTTATTATTATTACATTAATTTCATGTTCATAAACTTATTTTAAAAATTTTAAAATTTTCTTTAACGCGTCATTTACACCCACATCATTGTCTCTAATGACTTTATGCTTTTGTTGTATTATTGTTTATGTCTTCCAATTACTGATACCCTCGATTTCTATAAGTATTTTACAGAAATGGCTTAGTTAATGTTAGGGGTATAATACCCCTATATCTTTTTCCCTGGTGATATTACAAGAATTTGTTATTAGCATTTCCATCTCTTATTACCACTCCATCCATTCCATTCACTACATACTTTTATGAAATTATACCATCTAGGTTAGGGGTAATTCACCCTTATATCTGTTTTCCTGGTGATACTACAACGTTTTGTTATTAGCATTTATGTCTCTTTATAATCCCTGTAATCCATTTCACTACATACTGTTATGAAATTTTATCTTTCATGTTAGGGGTACTTCACCCCCTATATCTTCGTTACTACCCTCCCTACACAAAAACTTCATAAGAACAAATAGGTTCCTTGTACTAGCTGTCTTCATTCCCATACTTTTTTTGTTATTATTTAAAAAAAAAAATTGTCAAAACTGATTCAAACTGTGCTTCTCTTCTCTTCTCTAATTATGTTTTTATATCTCTTCACGATACCAGTACTATATCCGTATACTTCCTTCTACTATCGGGGGCTGCTACCCCTTTACAAAAATCTTTAATATCTCCGTTGTTTGATTACCGATCAATTTCAAGCTTTTACCAAACTGTGCTTTGATTTTTTTTACAATTTTTTTTCACCCCTTTCTAGGGGTTGTCACCCCCAATTGCTTTAATTTACTTTTATCACTATATTTTTTATTTTTTCACTGATTTTTGAAATTTTTCAAACTACCTGTGTCTTGTATTTGCATGCCTACACTCAGTATCTTCACTTACCTTATCACACCGCCTGTTTTTCCCTATGACTTCGACACCTTCCTTCTTCGGCAACTATATAGCTGCTTCGCTCCCAACGGACTGTTGTCACACTGACGTATACTGCTCGATGCTATTCTTCTTTCACAATACAAGCACTTTGCTAGGTGCTTACTATGTATGTGCATCTTATTAACATATCCATCATCGTAGATACTAAATAGGGCATACTTTGCTCCTATGATTCACCTTTCACATACTATGGAGCCCATCATGCTCGTACCAATGTAGTAATACTGCTGACAACGTTCTTCGCTCCATTCTACACCCCTCGCATAGCTTTCTTGACACACGCTCCATTCTACATATGCATTTCTCACACTTCCTTCATAACTCAATCCGTATGGATAGCGCACTCTATATCCATCTTGCAGTTCACTCCATTTAATTAGAAATCCATTCCCTCCTGACATCACCCCACTGGCTAGTCCTCCTCGTACTCCTACGTTTTCCAAATCTTATGGGGAGTCTAACAAAGACCACACACACTTCTCGTCCTTCTCATTCGTATCGTAAATCCAGCCTATCTTATGGGGACGATGTTGCATACACGTCCCACAATAAACCAGAAATATGCTGCAACAGCACCACCCACACGCCCAGCGCCACCCCTTAGAGTACTTCAACCGTTTCTCCGTTTGACACACTAAGCACCGACTTTTCTTCACTATATTTACCATGCTATTGCAATGCTTGCAACAACTGAACTGCCTCCTCTCCGAGCGCTGCACTAATTTAAACACATATTTCCAAGGTCATACCTTCTACCACTCACGACTTCAAGGTCATATTTCAAGGTTATATTTCAAGGCCATATTTCGATTCAAGGTCACATTTCAAGGCTATATTTCAAGGTTGCATTTCAAGGTCATATTTCAAGGCCATGTTTCAAGGTTACATTTCAAGGTCACATTTCGAGGTTAAATATGCGTTCAAGGTTGGCTCCCAAGGTCGACTGTCAAGGGCGTTCTAGAACATACAAACCCTACCTACTTAAATGTAACAAGGGTTAGGAATGATAACTGTGGAAACGATTTATTATTCTGAATATATATTTTAATGCGCCCCAGGATACCACACTCATCCATAAAATATATTTTGATAATTGTTAAAATGAATGCCAATGCTCAGTTCATAGAAACTTGGTCACCCTGTTTAAAGCTAACCGTGGCTAAAACCGGTCCCACACGATGTGGCGGTGTGGCACATCGTGTGAGAGAGCGCTGACGGATTACGTCTCCAACGTTCGTCACATGGCACGTTCGGGCTCTTGTCGGTAAATTTGACACGCGGCAAAGGATGTTACAACGAGATGTCATGTGTTTGATGGTTTTAGGTTAGAACCAGTAGCGGCGAAAAACATTATTTTCTTATTACTTGTTTGCTGTGATTGTGGCGAAGTAGTGGTATGTGGGAAGTATTTTGATTTGAATACCTACCTGTTCATAATAATGTATGTTCCGTAACTTACTTTTGAGGAGAATGAATTAAATTAGCATACATACTAAGCATAGGCTGCCATAACAACACTTTTTTCATATTGCTAATATTTTGTAGGATTCGCCGGTGAGTTATGGCTGGCCTAAGGGCTCTTACACACGAACGTGCAATCCGCCGACCGGCTGTTCCACCGACCGGCAAGAAAATCGGAAGATGGTATTTTACCCACATTCGAATACAACTTAACACACTTGCCGGTACCGGCTATTCTGCCGACCGGCCGCCGTTCATATTAAAATTTGGACGGCGAACACACGGCTGCCGGTCGGTAAATTAACCGGCGCGTTCATTTCAATGCATGCAAGTCTATGCCTGTTGACACACGAACGGGGATTCTACTGTCGCCGTGGTACAGAGTCGTAGTTTCATTTCCGTTTAGACAGTGTAGTCATGAGGAATAAAACTAAAGCCGCTTGGCAAGAAATCATGGATACATTTATTTATGAAAACCTGAACGAAGCAGAAAAAGCCGAAATAGGTATGTAACTATGTAAGATAAGAAACAATATTAACTGTATTTTACTTAATTGCCACGGTACAGATCCATTACTATTGAAATATTTTGTGAAATGGTCCCGTATATCCTTCCCGCTTCTTGATCCTCGCAAATTTCGCTCTCTTGGTATGTCTTCGAGGTTTATGATTTCTAAGACATCGCCGATATTAAAGCCATCTCTCATTCGTACTAAATTATGCAAGATACAACATGCTTTAACAATGTCAATGACGAATTCGGGATGTACGTTTATAGGTCGATGAAAGATTCTCCATTTGTTGCTAAAAATACCGAATCCACATTCAACATAACGCCTGGCACGTGATAAACGGTAATTTAATACACGTTGTTGCTGTGTTAAGTTGTTTCCACCAAATGGGCGTAGCAATTTATCACTTAATCCAAAAGCCTCATCGCCAACTAAAATATATGGTACAGCCGGATTTTCTGTTCCTGGTAAGCATTTTGGGCAAGGTGTATACAAAGAATCTGAATTCAATGCATGAAAAAATGTTGACTCTTCAAATACGCAGGAATCACATTCTTTACCGTATGCTCCAATGTCAACATATCGAAAACAGTATGATGTGTCCACAACAGCCAATAACACGATTGAAAAAAAAAATGTTTGTAGTTGTAAAATAATGAGCCACTTCGTTGTGGCTTCACAATTCGAATGTGTTTCCCATCTATCGCTCAGAAACAATTTGGAAAATTGGCATTATTAGCAAATCCTGCTTCACATTCATTCCACATCTTGTCTGATGGCGGTGGGATGCATTCATCAAGTAGGATTTCCCAAATTTTCCTGCATACATCCCTAACAATTTTACGTATTGTTGATGGTCCCAATCTGTATGCGTAGTGAAGGTCTGTGAAAGTCATACCGCTTACCAAATACCTGCAACAAAATTAATTATTTCTTTTTTTTTCAGCTAAAACACTATTGCAAAAATGGAACAACATTTTTGACAGTTTTGTGAAGAGTTATAAAAATAACTCTTAAGTCAGGCTCTGGTTTTAGGAGAATAAGAAAGTACATCTTCCACGATCAGTTGCAATTCCTTGCAATAACAATCGAACACAATACTACAAAATCCAGTATTTCACAAGAAAAAAATACAGAAACGATGGCGCAACAGAATGTAGATGATAGTAGCAATGAAGGCGATTCTCAAATTGATTAGGATATGATCAATATATCCAATCCAAATACATCAACCGCTAAACAAACGCCATCGCAAGCTTTACTTACAAAAAAGCGTGCCTCAGCACCAAAGAAACGTCAAGACGAGTTTGAAACCAAAGCGCTAAAGATCTTGGAAAAGCCGGACAGCATACCCACAATCAGTGAAGATAAATCGTTTTTTGATTCCATTTTGCCGATTGTAGAAAACTTTGATGAAGATGACAAACTTCAATTTCGCATAGAAGTTTTGCAGCTTGTACAACGTTTTAAACGAAAGCAAAAATGTGATGCTTTTAACATGACTTCTGATACCAATAGATCGCTACCTTCGTTTGTACCACCAGCAACTCAGTCATACAGCCAGCAGTGGACACCGACATACCATACATTGCAGTGTCCACAGACAATAAATACCACAATCAAGTACGTCATTTGATCCAACTACATCTCGCTGTGACAATAATCTTGAATATCCACAATCTTTGACACCACAATAGTTTATCCAATCTGACTTAACTACAACCAGAATTTGATTTGTTTAATTTGTTCGTTATGTTCCTTATTTAAATATATCTAGTTCTAAAATCACATTTTAATTCTATTACTTACCTTATTGTAACTGCAAGCATCTCTGTGGGTGGTATCGCTTGTCTCATGTTTGTTTCTTGGAGGGCTATATGTTTGTCCAAACGCTGTAGTAAATAATCAAATGTTGCAACACATATCCTAAAGTAATTGAAAAATTTTGCTTCATGTTCTCGTAGTCTTGTAAACAAGGTATAAAATGCTCCTACTGCACTTCATTCAGCTACCAGTGGATGAATCCATAATCTTCTTGCTAAAGCTTTCTTGTATTTTCTTCGTCTATACAATAAACACACAAGCACGATCTTCTTTTCACGTTTCGTTTTTGACAATGCACGAAACGAAAATAGCCAAGCTCTTTCTACGTCAGATGACAGTACAGCACTGGCCTTCATTCAGAAGGCAATGTAAACGGCACGTAACCGGCCGATCGCTTATCGTGTGTAAGATAATCCCGATTTCTTTGCGGCGGAGAAACAACGGGTCGGCGGAATGATCGGTCGTGTGCAAGAGGCCTAAGGATATGTATTTTAGTAAACTATAAATTACCAAGTGCTTACAGTTGTTTCATTATAATGTCCTGTTGCGATGCAAGAGTAAATGAGAAATATATTGTCTTGCATTTCATAACTAACGAAAAAGATTAAATAAACGATAACTCTGAAAGTACTATAAAGATTTTGATGAAATTTTGACCTTAGGTTACTACTATGAAAATGACGAAAAAGCTCTGCAGCTTTTGAAAATAGGTACAGTGGCGGTGGAGTTATCGTCGAAAAACTAACAAAAAACGGTCTAACTTGGTTTTTCGACATTTCTGATAGACTTAAATTTGGGTCGCTGAAGACAGGTTTGAAATTATTTTTCGGCGCTCGAAAAAAATGCTTCATCTTTCATTTTGTATAGTTTGTCCTTCAGTTGTAAAGGTTCAAGCGCGCGACACAGACACCTATAATAGACGTTGGCGCCACCGTACGGCGAACGTCCGAGACTAAAAAGTTCATCCCATCGTATAGGAGACACACTTGCCAATTGTGCGGTGTCGAACGTTGTACACAACGTTGTATACAACACTGGAAGCATCGTGTGGGACCGGCATTACAAGAAGAGAAGAAGAGGAGCTATTCTCGCCCTCTTCTGACAAATAACTTCAGCGATACAGTTACACTGAAGAGTACAGCCGCATGATTATCGATTTCTTTATGTTTTGAAGCTGTGCTATGACGTAACGACCATAGATGGCGCCACCATGAAATTACAATTTAAATTCAAATCTTAAATAAGAAATTGATCTTGTTGAAGTTTAGCACATTTAGTTTTGGATATATATTTTTTTAAATCTGATATAATTCTACAGCTTTCAAATGAAGCGAGTTCGTTACAGCACATCGCTATTCCTTAACTGTAAATTAATAATTTTTGGCATATATGTTTAGTGTCCCGTACTAGTAAAATGATTACATTTTCAGCTTGATTCGTCAACTGACTGCAGAAGCTCTGATCTCCCACCGTTGGATATGGTGATCCGCGGTGAAGCGAGAGTAGTCGCTCATCGACTGTGGAGTCAGGGCAGCTGGGCTTTCTTGAATCCTGTCAAGGGGCATAATGCCATCTTAGTCGAATTAGCCCTTGCTAAGTTGTGTATCTACTACTCTCGTAATAAAAGTGAAAAGGTACAGGGTAGTACTTCGAACGCTTGTAAGGTGGAATTGTTTTTACGCTTATCGTTATATTTCTATTATCATCTCTTGATATCATCTCTTACAAGTGTATCTTATCCTCAATCAGTAGCGTAAAAGCTTACCGTTCATTAAACCATTTCTGTGCACGCCACTGGTTTTGTTGGCATATTTACTTTTCTTTATAGATAAAGAAACTTTAAAACAAAGGAAATGTTCATTTCAAAAATAAACAAAATTAAGCTAATAAGAATTAAACATGACAACAATAAACATTACATTTGATACAACTTATTTCTAAATTATGAGGACATAACATTGGGTACAAAAAATAGTGCTGAATAAATGCTATAACATCCAACCTAAAAGAGGTTCTGAATGTGACCATCTCTTTGTGTCCGAGGTTGCTAACGATTTGTGATATCTTCTTTGTTGAGCTCGCTTAATCTGAAATGCTAAAGAATTTTGACCAAAAAAGGCCGATAATTTTAGAATCAAAATAATAAATATACTCAAATTGATTGATTCTACAATTGCTAGTTGTAATTTTAGAAAATCAGAAGAATCTAACATAGGTTGAAGTCGAATTGTCGTCGGGTTGGTTTTATAGAGAATAGCTCTTTAGACAGTACATGTACAAATTCCTCCAGAGTAGAAATAAAGGGTGTTTTTTTTAGAGGTATAGAAATTTAAATTGCAATAAAACAACGATGGATTATTCGATTGACATGCATTTTTTTATTCGAAAGATAATCTTTTGGAATTACATTTTAGACATGATTTCTGGCATATGACTGCCACGGCTGGCTCGGATGTAGTATCTGGACGTCCAATTTTCGATGACTTTTTCCAACATTTGTGGCCGTATATCGGCAATAACATGGCGAATGTTGTCTTCCAAATGGTCAAGCGTTTGTGGCTTATCCGCAGAGACCAATGACTTTACATAGCCCCACAGAAAATAGTCTAGCGGTGTTAAATCACAAGATCTTGGAGGCCAATTCACAGGCCCAAAACGTGAAATTAGGCGGTCACCAAACGTGTCTTTCAATAAATCGATTGTAGCACGAGCTGTGTAACATGTTGCGTCGTCTTGTTGGAACCACAGCTCCTGGACATCATGATTGTTCAATTCAGGAATGAAAAAGTTAGTAATCATGGCTCTATACCTATCATCATTGACTGTAACGTGTTGGCCATTATCGTTTTTGAAGAAGTACGGACCAATGATTCAAACAGTCAGTTTTTCTGGATGTAACGGTGTTTCGACATAGACTTGAGGATTAGCTTCACTCCAAATGCAGCAGTTTTGTTTGTTGACGTAGCCATTCAACCAGAAGTGCACTTCATCGCTAAACAAAGTTCGCTTATGAAAATCGGGAACAACGGCAATCTCGTTTTGGGCCCATTCAACGAATCTACGCCTTGCTTGATGATCGTTTGGCTTCAATTCTTGCACGAGTTGGATTTTGTAAGCAAGAACCAAGATCCTTCCGCAAAATCTTCCATAAAGTGGATGGACACAGATCCAATTCCTGTGCTCGATGGCAGATGGACTCATTCGGGACTTCCTCAATGCTACGTTCTACAGTAGCAATAGCTTCTTCTGTACGCACCGTACGGCGTCACTGGGGATGCGAGATATCAATTAGAGTAAACATGGTGCAAAAACGTTCCATGGTTAAGCGAATTAACTGCTCTGATGGACGATTTTGTCGACGATAAAATGGACGTAGTGCGCGATTCGTATTCCGCACAGAACCATTATTTTCGAAATAAAACTGCACAATTTGCAAGCGTTGTTCAGGTGTGACTCTATTCATGATGAATTACCAAACCAAACTGAGAATAAATCACTTGACAGCTGTCAAATCGGTCGCCATCTTCAAAAGTAATGCCAACTTAAAGTTCTATACCTCGAAAAAAAAACACCCGTTATAAGACAGTAGGTACATGAGCTTTGAGAGTACCGATTTGGGATAGTGTTAAATCGTTTCGTAGCTCCAAATAGACAGTCTAGCTTGACCCAATGGCCATTGACCATATTTGTTTCACCCTCTGAGTCCATTTTTTTATTACTATGCTCAATATTATCATAATATGCGCCTTAATTGTTTGTCTTGAAGCACATGTACAATCCATGTGACTAGCTTTACTTACTGATTTTTTATTACAGGAAATTACACAGTACATTCCAAATAAAATAATTAAAATACACGCATACATAATAATAATAATAATAATAGTAATAATAATAATAATAATAGTAATAGTAATAGTAATAGTATAGTAATAGTAATAGTAATAGTAATAGTAATAGTAATAGTAATAGTAATAGTAATAGTAATAGTATAGTAGTAATAGTAATAGTAATAGTCATAGTAGTAATAGTCAATAGTCTAGTCGTACTAGTCCTCGTCCTCGTCCTTCCTTCATCGTCAATCGTCATCGTCCTAGTCATGTCCTCATCATCGTCTCGTCCGCGTCCTCGTCCTCGTACTAGTCCCTCGTCCTCGTCCTAGTCCTCGTACTCGTCCTCGTCCTCGTCCTCGTCCTACGTCCTCGTCCGTCGTCATCGTATCGTCCTCGTCCTCGTCCTCGTCCGTACTCTCATCGTCCTCGTCCTCGTCCTCGTACTAGTCCGCTCCTCGTCCTCGTCCTCGTCCTCGTCCTCGTCCTCGTTTTTTTTTTTTCGGCCCGTCGCCAGGCCGCCCCTGGAGCGAGTGGATCTATTAACCGGC